AATATTACGTAATTGTTTGACTTTCATAATTTTTGTTATTAATTTAATTGACTATGTATTGAAACAAAATTAGAGCTTTAAGGATGTTTTGTGCGTGTCTTCTGACATTATTCGTAATCTAATCAATTAATTCAATCACTATAAGTGTAATTTTGCATGCAAGATGTGGTAAAATATGAACTCTATCTCTCTACTTTTATTCCATATCTTGTTTACCATATTTTAAGCAAATAAATTTTCATTTCATTTCATTGAAACGCAGATAGCCCAGTGGAAGCATATTTGTATATATAATTTATAGTTGTGGAATCGCTTTGGCGGCGTGACTTTCGTTTCCTGCTTACCTACCTGTATTTTAGTAGCAATACCTCTCGGTAACTCGGAAAGCTGCATGTCAAAGACTGTCCCAACCCTTAAAAAACGTGTGAAATTTCCAACCTGCATTTGGTTAGCGTGGCAGACTATCGCCTACACCCTCTCCTTAGAGGGACGCATGCCCAACGGAGGCACGAACGTACCATGATTTGAATGAATGAGCGAATGAAATATTCTTTATGGCAGATGAAAAGAATTCAATGACGACATAAAAAAGTAATGTAAGTATCATAGAATAATCTAAGGTACAACAGGCGGCTTTATTGCTAAATAACAATTTCTTCTAGCCTAACTTTGGGTTGACATTTTAGAGTTGGAAAGGGGGTGCAACCAAAGAAAATCTTCTATTGTAAGTTTTTCAAATACACAACACATTGATTACTAATAATGTGTATGTGGAGATAATAACACAAAATAATAAAATTTACTTGTATACTTTTGTAGGAAAATAAAATAAATAATAAATAGTAATAATAATAAATAAATAAACAAAAAAATTATAAAACAAATGAAGGGATCGGAGAAAAAAAAACGAAACTTAGAAGTTAAAGAAACGTTCCCAATCATGTCGTTTGAAGGAATCAGGAATTTGTATTTGTTTCATCTGTTCGTTTTGGAGACATTCTGCTGGTGTAAACTGTGTTGAGCATATCTTACAAAATTTCCATCTAAATTTTAACGTTGTACCTACGTTCGTGAGCTCAGTATAAATTGCTTTGGTTAACCTAACCTAATTTGTCTCATTGGTCATTAATTATTTGTGACATAATGGAACGACATCGCACAATTTATAACAATATAAAACAACTTAATGCGTTAGTAGACTTGGCTACTAAACATAGACAGCTACTTTATTGAAAGAATTTAAATAAAACACAAACTATACAATAGTTTAAAATGTATTTACTTAAACCTATCCTATTCACAAAAGGTACAAATGTTTATACAAAAAAAACTACGGAGTATTATATTTCAAGAGGTGGTTAGCTAGTCTTCAACTCTTCGCTAGAAGACGGCTGAGAATGGCACACTTATGTACAAATCGATAGAATTAAAAGAGTATTCTTAACTGACCAATGTTTTGACTGACTGAAGAGACAGAACTTTTTTTTTAACACTACGCCTTACTTATTTACAAAAATAATAATAATTAATAACAGTATTTACAAGGTAACGGTTAACTTAACTATTTTCGATTCTGAAACGATAATGTATGTTAATATAATTTTACGTATCACATCATTTAGAGAAGCTTTCCATTCGTAAGATCATAATCAAATGTAATGAATTCCACAACTCGTCAAACCACGCCGTTATTGTCATTCCATCATCATTATAAATAAAGATTTCTGATGAGAGTCGCACCGAGTTGCGTCGCGAAAGTCGTGTGATATCAAATGTTCTGTCCAGGGCTATAATGGCATAGGTCTAGCAAACACGAACCTGTCACTTCCCTGTCTTCGCATCATTTCAGCCGTAGCAGGTGTAGCAACGAACACAGCAGCTTGTCCACCTAACTCCATAAACTTCCCTCTTTTATTCTTCGAACTCGCTCTTTTATCGAATTTTGTATCAAAGACATCTTCATCGCTCTGATCGTAGTCTATCATTGGTTCCATCACTTCTTTTCTCCGTTTTTTATTGCCCATAAAGTAAGGTGGTATGTTAGTTATGTTTGGGGAAGATATTTGCCTTGTCATAACAGATCCTGAGCGTTCAAAGGGGGGAAAATGACGTTGCATGTTTTCTGAAAAAGATTGTCTTCGGTAGTTGAAGCGACGGGTATCCAAAGGTTGGTGGGTGAAGGAAGCTCGGCGAAGGAAACGCTGATCTTCTCTGTATGGTTTGCGTTCTTGGTTGTGGTTGGATTTGAGAGAGTCTTCATAGCTGCAACTGGAATTTGATAATGTTTGATTCATCGATTTGCTTCAACGTAACTGCTATTAATTGTCATTAATAAAAGAAATATTTTGTATTATGCGTTACTTAAGGACGAGAAATCAAATGGGACCATGAGACTTCATTAATATAACGTTCTATTATGCAGAGACTTAAAGCGAGTTGTAGAATTATGTAAAAATAAATTGGAACACAATTTCAAGAAAAAAATTGTGCTATTAAAATTCAAGGTGACGAGGTTACCGGCCCTGAGCGTGAGACTAAATAGGCTTGTGATATTTCGGCTTTTTGGGTAAATAAAATTAAATTAGTACTAGTTGATTGACTCAAAACAAGTTAATTTGGGTGCACTTTAGATAAAAATATTGTTGAATCCATTTGAGAGAAATAACAAACTAAATTAAATTGTAACTACAGTTGAAAATTACTGTGAAATGTTTTACTTTGATTTATTTGATCTCTTTAAAAGCTCATTTATAACACACGAGCCGACAAAAATATTAAAATACTTTCTTGTTCATGAATTATGGAGGACAGAGTTGAACATTCGTCATTTCATGTCAAATAAAAACATACCTAGTGCGAGTAGGACTCGCGCACCAAGGGTTCCGTATAGAAGATATTTTATGTCGCATGCAACTCAAAATCAGAGATACTTCTTTTAATAAAGTTAAATGGTTGTAACTTCGTCTTATTTTTCTTGAAAATAAAAAACGACATTTTGGGACGTAAACAAAAGCCTCTTTTAGCCTCTGGGCGTTGTACTAAAAGTTGTAAAAACATTTAAATATCTTGGTCCCATACTAACTGATGATTTAACTGATGATTTACTCGTTCAATATAATAACGTTTTCAGGATGCTGTTGGGACTACGAAGATGGTACAGTGCGTCAGGCATGTTCGCAGAGGCGCAGGTAGACGACTTCCAAGCGATAATGTGGAAGAAAATAGTACTGCTTATGACTCATGTCAGAAGTAGCCACAAAAACATCCTAAAAATTGTTGCAGGCATATTTGATTGTCCAATTCTAAAGTACAAGTTGGGCAAATTAAATCTGTTTTTATGTATATTAAATAAATATTATGTTATGTTGTGTCGTTGTGTTCTGTTTACTAATTGAAACCTATTGTATAAGTGAAAATGTTACTAACAAATTATATGGGTCTATGCCTAAAATAAATAATTCTATTCTATTTACTTAGTTGCTCGTCGTTCAGATTCTTCCTTTTAGAACCTATGTTCAATTCTAATAAAATATCTTCAAAACTCTTTAACCTAGAATAGATGCAGGCAACCAAGTTACTTAAGTATGCCAAATTACAAGTCGACAGTAGTTAAGAAGTAGACATAGTTAAGAAAAAACAGCCGTGCAAAGTCTTCAAGGTTTCCTTTTTTACAGTTTAGGTACCAGAACCATAAAAACGATAAAATGACCGATGATAAATGACGTCGAAAACCCTTGCTGTTGGCTTTGATCCATCTAAAATTGAAGTAAAGCGACATACCCGCTGCTCTCCTCGGATGTATGAAGACTGGATAGCCCACAGGGACACCTGACCGCATCGGCAATCCCGGAGTCTTGTCCGCTGGAATTCACTGACGTTAGCGACGTGTCTTGCCCCTTCCTAGTTTGGAGTTACGTGTGTGTTAACATGTGCAGTACCTTTCAGCATCTTAAATGTATGGTATCTTATGTCTAGAGAATATCTGTGTTTTGGCATTGATGGTATGGCGAAGTATGCTTGAATAGTTAATTCTCTTTTGTATACAATTTTTGTAACTTATACTTAGACCCACAAAACTGCATCGTACAGTTTGCAGGACCAATTGAAGTTGGATGTTGATCATTAACCGACGTTTACACATCTAGATATTTTTATTACTTCCATCAACTAAGAAAAATGTCGATTCTCTAGAGAAGCAAAGCGGTTTTTTTTTCACACTTCCGCACACAGACAAAATTTTACAATTGGACATTTTTACCATAATATACCTAACATGGTGATCTTTGACCTCAATTATCTCAGGCCATTGATCGAAATAAAAAAATTGGGTTTTGTCATGACCTATACAATTGCATTTATAAGCTAGATTCAAATTTCTTGCATGCTGATTATGCTATAGCCGAGTAGTTCCGTTTGTAATTGTACAATTTGAGAATGTGCCAAGTTAGCTTCTCATATTGCACTTCGAAAACTTGTGATAAGATGTTTCAACATTTTATTTTAATTTTCTCTTTCGTACCATATTGAATAACATCGGGTAAGATTATATATATATAGATTAGATATATATATATATATATAGTTATTAAGGTACTCTTTAAAGTATCATCACCATGTGAAATTCTTGACTCTTGGAATTATATTTTCATGAAGAACATTTTTGAATATAACCAATAGAAGTTCGAAACAAATATTCGTGTCGATTATTTTGTTATTTTGGTGATTGCGTTTATAAGTAATTCAATATTGCCACGTTTGAGTTTCTTTGTACAAAATGTTGTCAAAATTAAGTTGTGGAAATTGTTAGATTTCATAGAAATGTTTTGGTTTTCGATTGTAAAATTTTTATTGTGAAGTTTTGGAACACAGTTATGTTAGGTACTAATGAAATTTGAAGTAAGTTTTATTGCATACTTCAATCTGTATAACTGTATATTACATGTAGGTAACTTTATGTTTTATTTGATGTAACTTTGTTAGAGATCGGTCACTTTCACGGTCCTTTGCACGGGCACGTTTTGTGGAAAGAGAAAAAGTAATAGTTAATTAATAACATTCGTTTTATGAAGAGATAATAATTTCGACGCTAGCCCTTCGATCAAAATATGTTCGAAGCGTTAACCTCCATACTTTTGAATTAAAAATCACGGAGCAGCCGTTATTTTATTTTAAGAGGAACAAATAAACAGATTGTTCAATTTACATACATACATACAATTACGTCTTTGGATTCCCACTGAAGTAGGCAGAAACTCTCTCGCTTCACTTACATTCATCAATCTTTTCATACACGCCCTTCTATATTATATTCTTCTCTTTACAGGCTCCAGTCTCTTTAAGAACATTCTTCAGTTTGCTTTAAAAATGCTGTTTGTGGTCGTTATCTTTCAATGTTGCCTTCCACGTTAGCTCTGTATAGGTCTTTCACCACTCTAATTTCATTCATCTGCACCAAGTACCCAAACCACTTCAAAATATAATTCTCTATTTCTGTCACTACGTTCTCTTTCAAACCATATCCTTAATATTATAGTATTAAGGTTTAAGCTACGATTTATTTCTGCTTGCTTCCATTATTGATGTTTACTATCATATGCTACGACTTTATTATGCTGTTATATTCTCACCTCTTCTGTAAAGGTCGCTGATTGAATTTGACGCACATCCTCTCGTGCTTCTGTCCGAACAGATCCGAATCTCCGAACTGGGTCTTGACGCATTTCTGATGGGCCTTTCCAAACTCTTCAATTGTGTTCCCATGCGGACAAATCTTCTTGGTTACATTATGGTTGACAACATCAATGTAAGAATCAGCTTCGCTATACGATTGATTCAATTCTTGACACTGGTTGGCTCCAGATGGAAAGAGACCTCCGTATTTAGTTAAGTGCTCAGTGGAGAAAGCGTTAAGGCGTTGCTGAGAATATGGTTTGTGTTGTTTTCTGTTAGGGCAAAAGATAGAAGTAAAGTCAATGGAAGGCCAAAAGATATCTGAAAGAGTACTGATCAGGTATTAAAGGTGTGCCATGTGCAATAGTTAAACAGGAAATGAAAGTTCAGGTAAATAAATAACAAACAACACCATTTCTAGAAACTTTATTAATAACAAAAAACTATCATTTAGTTACGAGTAAGTAAAATAAATAACTAAGTCACTACTAAGTACAGTCAATGTTTCACAAGGCAAATTCATGCAGTAAATAAGACTTCTCTATATGAAATAAGGAGTCACATGCTTTCGTTTGTGATGGCGGTGGTGTCTGAAACGGAAGGGGATAACATAAAGTTGCTTACCTTTCGAAGATGCTAAAAAGAGTTAACATATTGTTAAAATTCCTACTTGTCAAAAAACTGACGTCAAAGTACCTCTTTGTCTTTCAGTGTTTAAAAATCTGACCCAAAGGAATAACATTCATTTATATAGTTGGAGTTATCCGAAGGTGCATACATAAAAGTAGCTATATTACTTTTAGCTATAGAAGCATTGCTGACTTTTGAAGTCAGTCGAAAAATACTACTTAAAAAGCTAACAACCCATTCTCATGTTTTATTCAGGTACTGTGGAGCAAACTCACGAAGTCAAATAAAGAGTTCCTTTAATCTCTCGTCTAAATTCGGATAACTGCTTAACTTGTTTGCTGCGTCTTGTGTAACTTCCATTTTCGTCTGATTTTATTATTATCGAAATTCTTCTTTTTAATGTTTATAATTTTTTGATAGAAATAAGCTCAATTAAGAACGATCCGAGACATTAAATTGTTGAGTATAATTGAATTGTGTAAAAGATTGTGTTCATTTAAATAGGTAGGTACTTTTTAAAGCAAATCAGTTCTCCCGAGACTCGTGAATGATCTTAATTTTGTTCCATTAAATCCATAAGTCATGACGCAATGAATTTAGAATTGCTTGGAAAAAGGCTAGCCTACAGATAGCTGAAGTTTTTATTCCATAATATTATATTTATGACGGTAGTTTTAAAAACAAATCAAAATATATATAACACAATCAAAAATTACCTTCTACTCCTCCTAACGCATAATATGCAAACAGCAGTGGTGCAAGCACCAACAAACACGAGGCAACCAAGAGCAACAACGCTTATTTCCATCGTGCTGAGGAGGCGGCCACTCCTCGCTTGGACCATGGCCGTGTCCCCCACCTCGAGTACTTTGAACCCTGTTAAGTCAAGGCGTAGGTCGGTTTCACGTTTTAATAAGGACCTGGAAAAATAATACAACATTTGGAGATTATTCGCGTTAATTCACATTAAGTAAGATTATAATACTAGTTATTATACGCTTCATGCCTATTATATTATTATCTATTATAATAAGTACATAAGTCTACAACAGAAACCTGTGAGCAATATCCATTACGCAGAGGGCAATGTACTGTGAAGGAAGAGGAAATCCTACGTAAATAAGAGATTATTCGTAAAGTTTTGAAAGATCGACAATGTGTGGTTGGTAACAATTAACGCTACTTCTTAGGGAGTCACCACACTTATGGAGTCGTGCGAGGCGGCTTAATACAAGTTGACAGCAAATATGCTTCGTGCGAATTTCCGATCGTGTGCTTACGCAACCGATGACGGATTGGTGACGTCGGCACCCGAAGTGCCATGTTGACACTTGCGTCATCGCACGAAGGCGGCATCGACGTCTGAATGGCTCCGAAGCCACGTTTCATGTCCCAAATCCGAGGCAAAGGCGGTATAACGACTGCGTCTACGCTTAAACGGCTACGTGTACACCAGAACGGCCACGTTGACGGCGGCTTGATGTGATAAATATGGTTTAACATGATCGCTTAAGCTGATTCCGCGTTGATAAGGTTTGCTGACTTCCTAAAAGTAACTATTCACTAAAACAATATTTACCCTGAGTTTAGAATGTGAACTTGATAACTTAGATTGAAGTAAGACGACACGTAAAGTACTTTATGTATTTCTAATGTACATAATTATATACTTATGTTACATACAATGGAAAATGCCAAAACTATGAACCTTAGAAGATGGTGAATAATATCTCTAAGATGTGTAACATCTGGATAGAGCTTTTGGTGAAATTACAGGCACATGGGACTTGTCAATTATGACTCAGGGTGACGGGCGCAGTGGCAGTGCACTTCAGATCTTTGCGGTTTTAAGATCTAGGTGGCACTGCAACTGTTATAGACAGGCGTGTAGCTTACCATCAGGCGCACGACTTGTTCGTCCCGACACTTGATATTATAAAAAAGAAAAGCTTACCGTTGCAATACTTCCATGTCGATTATCGCATTAGATATAGGATCCACAGCGTAAATGTACATGTCCGTCCTGAAACAAAGGAAACTTTTCAATTTCCATCATAATTATCTTCGTCAATTTATTATACGTCCCGCTGCTGGACACGGGTCATCTTTAAGAAAAGGATTTAGTGAACAGTCAATCATTCACAAATGTACGTAACTTGCAAATGTAAGTCACAGGTAGGAATAGAAAAACAACCATTCTCCCACTTGATTACCGCTCTTTAAATGTTAATCATAAATAATTTTTGTTTCGCTTTAAGTGTATTTATTTGAAAAGGTGTCAGTTATGACAAAATTCCACATCGGTCAACTACTATCACCGATCAAACTCTAAATCATTAAGAAATAGCAAGCAAGTAAGAAATAGCATATTACAGAAAATACAAAGTATACAAAATATACTGTAAAATTTGTATCAAACAGTTGATCATTTTTATACGTTCAAAATTCCAATTTGTTAGATGCTGTTTTTCTCAATGTTAGTAAAAGGCCTTCTATTCAGCATATCACTATCAACAAAGTTAACACCGAAGCTAGGCGAATGATGTTCAACTCGACCATAACATTACGTATAAGTTATGATGTAAATACTCCCAACACCGTAAAACTGGCAACTTCCGTAGGTTACTCGAACATTCCGCTTAATGAACTTGAACGTTCTTCACGTTGTTAATAATATATTTAAAACCAATGAAACTGGTAGAGAAGCAAGGGGGTTTATCAACCAAGTATTTTTATGTTATTTTTCAAATTCCGGTTCCTAAAGCTTTTCTTATTTTTAAAGTTTCATGGTGGATAATAAAACTTTGCGACGGTTAAGTTAAAAAACAAATAAATAATGTGAATAAATAAGTGTCCTAAAAGTGAAAAAAAATTAAAAGTGAATTCTGTCGATGCCATATCTAATGCAGGATGGATATGTTATAATTCTTACATTCATGTTTTTGTTTGTTGCGTGTGATTGCCGGCCGCATCGTGCAACTACCTTCGGAACGAATTGTCGATAAATTCATCTCAAATCGTATGATTGTAATTTTTGTCTACCTACATTATTTTTGTTAATATGCGGTGACTGGTGATGGTTATATGGATTATTAGTGCGCTTGATTTTACCATTAGGTTTGGTGTCTCTGTATATTTCTCTGTATATTGAATGTATATTCTTAGAGACATAAATATTCTTAAACCATAATTAGAACGACCTAGTATCTTATAATATTTTTCATTTCACGAAAAATATATATTTATCTAAAGCAATATCAATGTAATCGTCAATTTATTGGTAGTCTATGGCCTGTAAATTAATTTCTGTTAATTAAAGTACTTCAGATCGGATCAGAGCAAGTAATCGGATAATATCAGACAAAATAAAAAATTTGTCAAGAACGTTTATGCGTAATCTCAATTGAATTTGTCGATACATTATAATATTATTACGATTGTACGTGCGTATATATTTTTTAACGCAAAGTAGACACACGCTTGGCCACAATCTCACTCTAACCTTGAATAACCCTAAATTTTACATTTTCAGGAACAAGAAACACAACTTACGTTACGGCAAAGGAGTGAAATTATACATATAGTAGAACGCATTAGTAGGGAGGAAGCAAAGTTCATGGCATCGTGCGATTGGGTGGTACATTAATGATATAAGGATGGAGTGTTCCGGGCTTATTTCATATCCTAATATTTATTGGGTCTCTAATTTAAGTTGAAAACAAACTTACGCGTGTCCATCCATAGAAGCCTTCAAGTTACTTTCAAGTCTTCTAACTCTGACGTCATAGCCCGTAATGGCCGTGAGCGCTTTGGTGATATTCTCTACGTTTTTCTCAACTTCCATTGGCTTTGCGTCTACTACAATCACTAGTTGATTGTTCTCGTCCAAGACGTATACCTGGAAAAGATAATAAACTGGATTCGACAAAAGTCTAACTTCTAACATCAGCACACACAGAAAGAAATACCGTTGCTAAAATTTTTACAAATACCAATGGCGAACTCCCATATAAATTGTTGTTGACATAATTTTGTATACGTCTGTTTATGAATAATAAATATGTGAAAATACAGAGTTTAAATTTCTGAGCGCATTAGGTTTGCTTTTCTGAGAAGTCTGCTACTAACGATATACCAGTTTGAATTTTGAAGGTTATATTTTATATAAAATCCATTGGTGTAGGTAAGCTGCAAAGTTCGTATAGCGTAACTTCTTCTTTCACCTTAAACGACCTGAATACACACTTTGCTAAAACTGTTGCTTTAGACACCAACACGAAACAACAAAGCATTCCGTTTATTAGAGCCCTGCCCAAAAATTTTAACACCTTTTTTATTTTCTCCATAGTAACTGAAGATGAGATCAGGAAAGTTGTTTTGAGAATGAAATCCAATGCTGTAGGACATGATGATATAAGTATTATATAAGTTATGGTAATAAGTATTTTAGAATATATTCTCCCTATCATCAAGCACGTAGTTAATGTTTCGATTGTGTCTCGGGTTTTTCCATCTTTGTGGCGAAACGCCCATGTAATTCCTCTTCCTAAAGTTACCAAACCCAGTTTACTAAAGTATTACCGTCCCATCTCAATTCTTCCTTTTCTTTTTAAAGTCTTAGAAGCTGTCATTCACAAACATTGTCTGCTTATGTATACTCTCCAAATTTCCTGTCCACTTTTCAATCAGGTTTTCGATCAGGTACTTCTACTGCTTTGCTAAAGGTTGTTGAAGATGTAAGGCGGGGCATGGACTGTACCTTAATTACTGTGCTGGTCCTGATTGATTTCTCCAATGCCTTCAACGCCGTAGATCATGACCTTCTTCTTGCCGCCTTAGATCACCTAAACTTCTCATCAACAGCTGCTGAATGGTTTTCCTCTCTCTCCGCGATCGCCAACAAGCTACGAGTAGCAAATACGAGTATTTACCGTTCTTTCTCTCGGTGGTGTGAACTGACTTCTTGTTTTTCATTTTCATTAATGTGATTACGTCTAGCATCAAATGTTCTTACCACCTGTATGCTGACGATTTACAGCTTTACACCAAGGTTAGTATCGGTGGCATCTGTGACGCAATTGCTTTAATTAATGACAACCTTGATCGAATCTCGGTTTGATCCCAAAGGTTTGGCATCAATGCTAATCTTTCCAAATGTCAAGCAATCATCCTTGGAAGCCCACGCCTTATTTCGTTTTTTGACATGACGCGCACGCCCCCGACATTGTTTGAGAACATTGTAATTCCCCTATCAAATCAAGTAAAAAATCTGGAGCTAATTATTGACTCAGGTCTTACGTGGGGACTCCAGGTGTACGACGTTTGCTGCGGGGTAACAAACACATTAAGAGCTATGTATAGGTTTAAGCACTTTCTTCCCGTTAAGACCAAAACTCTCCTTGTTCAGGCTTTGATATTGCCTGTAATCGATTATGCTGATGTGTGTTACAGTAATATCTCTCAAGTTTCCTTGAACAAGTTAGATCGTCTTCTTTACAATTGCATTAGGTTCATGTTTGGTCTGCGAAAATATGACCACATCTCTACTTTTCGACGTCAACTAAATTGGCTTCCCATCGGTGAACGGAGATCCTTAAGAATGTTAACCACCTTTTTCTCCACTTTGTTCGATCCGGCTGCGTCATTTCAATTTGAAACCCCTCGGCCGGGTTGCGAAATTCGATCTTGCCGTAGCTTCAAGTTCTCTATCTTTCTCACCGTACTGATTTTGTATCTAATTATTTTGCCCTTAATGCAATCCTTTGGAATGCGCTCCCGCTAAATATAAGACAAGCTCAGGCTAAGTTATCTTTCAAGCGCATGTTGCGCAATTATCTTTTTAATAATCTTCGAGATCAAGACTTGATGAAGATTGGCACAGCAACATTACGCATATATATATATATATATTATATATATATAAGTATATGTAAATATATGTAAGTAAGTATATGTTTGTCCCAATGGTTGAGTGGTAGAGAATGCCTTATGGCATTAAGTCCGCCATTTGTACATTAATGCATTGTACAAAAACATTATATAAATAAATAATTAATAAAATATATTCGGTGTATTATATTACATTAAAATAAACTACAGAAGCCTTAACCAGAGTTAATAGAAGATGAATGGTGGCCGGGGATTTGTGAAGTGACCAGAGTTCAGAGAAAAATATTTCTTATAAGGTATTTTTTTCTATAAAAAATATGTGTGCATTTGACCTCCATCTCACCTGATGGAAAGTGACGATGAGGATTTAACATGCACACCTTAATAATGCCTATTCACTCTCGCCTAGAAAAGGTCCAAGTTATAGTGTTCGCGAAACAAGTCTGCAGGCAGTGAATTCCACTCCCTAGCCGCTCGCCATACAAATGTGAAGCAAAACGCTTCGTGCGAATCCGGGGAATATCCATAACATAGGGGTGGAACCCCTGACCACGTCTAGTCTCCCGATGGTGGAACGGGGAAGGCGGAATCAAATTATGTAATTCCATCGCACACTCTCCGTGATATATCTTGTAGAATACCGATAAGCTGGCAACTCTACGGCGGTGTTCAAGGCCCTGCAGCTTCACCTCTACTAGTTCCGAGTCACCTATAAGCCTCTTAGCACGCTTGTCTATTGAATGCAAGGTGGCCAGTTGGTATTTAGCAGAGCCATCCCATAAGTGGTAGCAGTACACCATACACGACCGGATTTGTTCTTGGTACAGCTCAAGCAGTTGCTTCAGCAGTTCCGGTGTGAAGTAATGCCTCACCTTGGAAAGGATGCCAAGCTTCTTGCCTGCATGTTTGGCCATGGATTCAATGCTGAAGTTCAGATTGGACGACAGGTCCATTCCAAGTAGGTGAAGACGGTTGGCTATCGGTATGGATATATCACGAAAAGTCGGAGTCAGGTGAAAGGGACTCCATTTAGTGGAAAAAAGACACGCCTGCGTTTTGGTAGCATTAAATCTGACAAAATTGGCATCGCTCAATAGGAGGCTATTTTAAATGTCAAATTCAAACGACTAACCATGGACTCTCGACAAGATTTTTTTATTGGATTTCTTCTCCTCTGACCCTTGCATTGGTCAAGTACCTGTCCACAACTAGTATGGTCAACAGGCATGAAGTTAAGCCATAATTAAAGAAAAACGAGTTAACGTTTACCTAGCCCTGGTGCCTAACTCAGACAGAAATAATTTTTTTCGTGAAACATGCCGTCTATCCCTGATATCGGGATTTTTTTTGGCAGTTTTACCACTTTCCCGCGTGGCATATTTGGAAAAGGAATTATCTACTTTATTTTTTGTAATAAAGCTTATTGCAAATCGGTCGAATCAGTACATTTAATATTGACCTATCTATACGTGTTTAGGCACTGAAAATATTTTTTTGGCGGCTAGATGTCGTTGAATGTTAAGAAACTATGAAACTGATAGTCGTGGTTATCAGTCACGTTCCCGTTACCGTACTAATCACGTGAGTTTCATTTAAATAATTTTATTTCCAGATTTAAACAGGCGATTAGTATAATTTGAAAAATCTAATGAGAGTGCGTCTCGCTTTTCACATAGCAAAGTTTAATCTAATACACAAACATCTGCGTCAATAGTTGATAATATACATTTCATACTTCTATTGTTTCATATTTCTAGTCTATAGTTGGTTACCATAGTTACGCCTTGTTTATATGTCATTTTTGCCATTCAATAAATTTTGATAATTACGAGAGTTATGAATTTATCAATAATTTTCTAGATTTTGCTAGATAACACTAGTGTCACTGCGACCTTCGACGCACTGCGAGCGCTGCGTAACTTTACCGACATTATCACACAAGTAACGTGGCTGTCAACTGTGTTGGTATAGTCCACAGCGCAAGAGTGTCACTGAAGTCAAAAGACGAACTACAATAGTGTCAGTTGAACTTTTACTGCAAATGTATAAATGGAATAGTGACACTAAACGAAGAACTTTTTTTAAATTATCAAAGTATTTCTAGACTAGACTTAAATAAAATCAAAATAACCATTCATAAAGATACCATATTCCGATCCATTATAAAAACATTATGTCACATAACTTTCTAAAAATAATATTATTTATTTTTAGAAACTTTAATCTCTATATCCTGTTAGTTGCTTATTTTGAATAGTGACAACATCTTAACGTGCGAAGGTTAACTTAATAATTTTTTAATTTCAAAGGATTGAAGTTCTCATTTAGGTAATTTAAATTGGTAAAAATGGAAACTAAATGAACGCAGATCATTGTGAGAGATGAAATAGATTAGCTAATCTAGAACTAATACTATTTACACCATACAGAATCAGAATCGGTTAGGTAATATAATTATAAAGAAGATTATCTATAAAAATCACAATCACGATAATAATCTAAATACTTACGAAAACATTAGCAATAGCAGACTTTCCATCGTCAGCTCCTCTTTTATCAGTAGCCTTCACATCGAATCCGAACACTCGGCCAGCGTCTCTTGAGAAGGCAGCCACAGCTCTTACTAATCCAGTCACTGGGTCGATAGCAAACCTATTGCCTTGAGAGTTGATGATTTGGTACCGAATATCGGCGTTTATACCGTCATCTGCGTCTTTAGCCTGAAAGTAAATATATACGCCTTTTGTAATGTGTTGTTTTGACGGGCTTTAATAAAAAACTGTACTAAATAAACCGTTTGTGTTCAGTACTATTAATAAACACATGAGTGTGTAATAAGTTTCTATTATACATAAATGATAGGCTTACTTGCAACTGAATAACTTGATATCCAAAAGCAGCAGTTGTTGGTATGGCTGTGACCATTGGTCGTCCACCATTTACAAATTTGGGAGCATTATCATTTACATCCTTTATTTTCACTATCACTTTGACATCGAACTTAGTCATGCCGTCCATTACATCGTCTGATACTGGATAAATCATGTGGGGAAGCTCTCTACTTATTTTCTGCCTTTCCGCTCTTATCATAATTTCATAAATATCTTTTACTTCTCTGTCAGGACTTCGGACTAAATATAAAGTACCATTTCTCGGGTCTATTATAAAAGATTTCTTAACATCTGTATCATTTTCATTCAAAATGAAATACCTCATTTTGTAATTCTCATAATGTTCTGTCAAGTTCAGTGTTAGCAACTCAACAGGAGTGTGAACATTTTCTTCTATTTCCATTTCGTAATAACGTGATATGAAAACAGGTTTATCCGACATTTCAACTTCGTCAGGAACATCTTTAACAGTTAGTTGGAGTATTGCTGTAGAACTGAGACTTGGGGAACCTAAATCCGAGGCTACAATAGTTACATTATGTAAAGATTGGGTCTCGTAATCTAGTCTACCGATTGTGGTTAAAATTCCTTCTTTGGAATCGATAGCGAATAAATTCATTTGGTTTTTTCTTTGTGGCAAGCTGTATAATATAAGTCCATTTCCATTGCCAACAAAATCTGAATCATTGGCATAAACTTTTGTAACTATTGTACCAATAGGGGCATTTTCCTCTAAAGTGGCTTTGTACACTGGTATCATCATAACAGACTCAAAGTTATGGTTGGAAATTTCATCAGCTTCAGGATGCTTCCATTCCAATAAATCATCATATCCAAAGAATCTTGGCGCGTTATCATTGACATCTAATACTTGTACTTCTACGCTTACTGATGACGAAAGTTTCTTATCATGACCATTATCTCTAGCTACTACAGTAAGAATGTACTTATCCTCTCTTTCTCTGTCCAGTTCGCCATTCACACTGAAGACTCCCGTTAAAGGTGATATCTCAAATGGCAAATCCTTACTTGAAGGCTGGATAAAATATGTTAGATTTGCGTTCTGGCCAAAGTCCGCATCTGTAGCATCAACTTTACCCAAAACTCTTCTTGTGTATTGTGCTTCTTCGACGTTAAAAGTGTACCAGGATTTCTTAAACATTGGATAGTGATCGTTAACGTCTTTGATAAAGAATCTAATTGATATATGGTCGCTTAAGTCACCGCCATCTAAAGCCGATATATTTAATCTGAATTCAGATTCCGGAGGTAGAGCTCTCGCCACAATAATATGACCGTGACGTTCATTGATTACAAAGTATCTTTTTAATTGCATTGCATTGGCTGGTAATGCAAACGGAGGCATAAACAGTTCAGAAACAAACTCATATCTCAGTTGACCATTAGCACCACTATCCATATCTATGGCACTAAGTTTTAGTATTGTGGATCCAATGGCAACGTTTTCTGGTACCATAAATAATGGGCCATTGTTATCAGATGTAAGAGAAAATTTATTATTTGGTCTAACTTCTATTTTAGTGACTCCATTAGTACTATCACTTTTTTTTTCTCTGTAGATTTTGACTTTCGTTTTATCACCCACTTCTAGTAAATCTACGTTTTCCCCTAATGGTATAATTATTTGATTAAACTTGGGTGGACTGTCATTTTCGTCGATTATGGTAATGGTGAGTTTCGCTTCCGAGCTCATGCTTCCTCTATCTCTGGCAACTATCTTTAATATATACATGCTCTTTTCTTCTCGGTCTAGTTTGTTGCCAACAAAGATAACCACGCCTGTGTCTTCATCTACTTCAAAGAGTTCATGTCCCTCACCAAATAAAGTATATTTGAAGAACGAATTAGGTCCTTCATCAGCATCTTTAGCTTTTATTTTAGTATTCATTACAACTTCAGTTCCTTTAGCAGCATTTTCAGTAATGTGGCCTTCGTAAGTTGGAAATTCAAATACTGGTGGATTATCATTATCGTCATCAACGTAGATTGTTACTTGATAAATACCAGCACCCGATATCATGCCTTTATTAAATTCTGCAATTACTGTCAAACGGTACACACTACGTTTTTCTCTGTCTAATGCTTTTTGAGTATAAATTGTTCCGTCTTCACCTGTAATAGAAAATATTATAGTACATAGAAAGAACTCGTCATATATCGCTTATGTGCTAATCGTTATGTATATAAAAAAGAATTACCGATTGCAATATCATCCGCGACATCTTGTTGATTGGCAATAATGAAATGAATATTCCCAGTGCTGTTCACGGGCAAAGAACTAATGTTCACGGGAAATATTGATCCAATAGTGGCTCCTGCTATGTTTTCTTTCACGTGGAAAATTAGTGGTGAATTTGCTCCTCTAAAAATAAAGTAAAATGAATAAAAGTTCTATTTAGTGTACTTATAAAATATTAAAGTGCTTACTTCAATAAAACTCCTCTTTCATCGTTTACGTCGACAATGTGTATAGTAGCGTTTGTTGTAATTGTCATATTGAGGTTGTCCTGTTGAGCAACAGCCTCAAAATCGTACAAAGGTCTGTTATATTTTGATAACTCGTCTATTACTGTTATTACACCGGATTTTTCTTCAACCGCAAATGGTACTGAAACAAAACCAATAAAGTATAGCACTTACTAACATACGAACTGGTTTAATAATTGCGTTGTAAGTGTACGAACCTCCATCTTCATAACTATGTAACAAATCATACGACACTTCATTTTTTCCCATTGCATCGTTAACTCTTATTTGACCCACACTTGTTCCGATGCCAACGTTAGATCCGACCCAAAATTCATAAGGCGCTCCCATAAAATCTGGTTTATCTAGATTTGAACCTAAAACACATTTTTTTTTAAATTCCGTGTAATAAAATATTATGTTTACCGACAGGTTAACTTGTTGACTACATGAATGTTACCTTTGGTAGGTCTTACAACATCAATAGTAACTACAGCTAGCGAGTATCTTCTTTCGCTTGGATTTGCAGGTTGGTCTGAAGCTTCAATAAATAAAGCATGTCTTCCCTCAGCTAAAGGAGATTCAGCTAAAGTAATAGTTCCAGTTTTAGCATCTACTTGAAATGGCGAAGTAACAGTCAAGTTGCTTGTTCTTTGCAAATCATATAGAACAATTCCATTTCTTCCCAAATCTGGATCGACTGCTTTTATTTTTCCAATATGTGTTCCAACTTTTGCATTAGATTTGATAGAGAACTCGTAAAGGTTACTTGGTACAAAGACAGGGTTGTTGTCATTGGCGTCTAGTAGAGTAACTTCAACAGTAACAAAAGACATCAATTGGTGAAGGTCTTCAAAATATTCTATGTTTTCATTCCTAGTGCCAAGTTTGTCTGGAAAAACATATGTTGTTTTATCTTTACTCTGTGTATGAGGCCTTGTGTTTCTTCTCCATTTGGAAAGGCGGTGTTTATCCAGGTATGTCCCAACGACACTTGGGTTTTTCTCTTTGGCGTATACTTTCATTCTCAAAGAGGCGTGTTGTTCTCTGTCTAGTACCGTCTAAAAAATATTTGAAAGTTAAATTTATGACTGATGTGGCGAAAATTTCGCCAAATTAAGAGGTGTTTTTAATAAAACTAAACGGTTAATAGAATATAAACAAGTATTATATACCGGTTTAAGTTTGTTGGTAGAAAATTGTAAAAAAAAGTAAACATGACTATCAACAGAGATAATTTAAAAATGCTGCAATGTCAGCATTCTGGGCACCTTGCCGCGGGGACCTAATTTTATTCATATAATTTAAAAAGCCTAGTTTTACTTTCTAGTAGTTAAGCTTTTATTGTCTTTTTTACCTTACCTGTATATTATCTGAATTAAATACATTTAAAAACATTCCGAACGGTAAACATTATAGGTTAATAATCCAAAAAATGGCTTCCAAGTTTTTTATTCAATTACTCCACTGCGGCAGAGAGTTGCCATAAAAGTCAATCATTTCCTAACGACACGATCTTTCGGTTCGTAAGAAAATGTAATTCGTTCCAATAACCGCGTTTTCTACCCCAGATTTTTTATTTCCTCTCGGTTGGCGGAAAGTTTACAAAAGTAATGTTTTAAATGATTTTCACACTATCGAAAACTTCTAAAACTATTTGACTCTCTACAATGTTTGAAGCAACAAAACTATTAGAATAAATTGTAGCAGGATTTCTTCATTGTTAATTTGTTTCATAAAATACTGTCCTTCATTATCATATGTCAGGTGGTTAAAAGTGAAAAGAGAAACTTGTTCCCTTTGCTAAGTTCCTGACATACTTCTTCTTCTAACATCTGCGTCAGTTCTAATTACCTGATTCCGAACAGTGAGCCACCCAGTCCTGGGGTCAATGGCAAAGGCTCCTTCAGGATCATTCAGCTGGTACGTGAATTCTCCGTTATCGCCCTGGTCTTTATCCGTTGCCATGACTTGAAGTACACTGAAGCCTAGTATATAATATTATTGTCAGTTCACAAAAGTTTGCAAGTTGTTATCAAAATGGACAGGTATTAAGCTTTTCGGCGAGAGATATCGCACAATAATAATAATAATAATAACAATAACCTGAGTCCCTGATACCGACCGACTGTGCCATAACCAGGGAATGCCTCCTCTCCTATTTAAAAATTAAAAATTTATCTTGAAAGGGTGACGAGAATAAAATAAGATGCTCAAATAAGAATTATATTTAACAAATTTCTTGCCTATAAAATTATAACGGAACAATAAATAATAATAAATATTAGAAAAGTTCACATGCGTACCTCTGAGCCCAAAGTAAGCAACTAAAGCACTTTGTGAAATCGGTACGACGGTACCACAAATACCCTGACCCGAAAAATTTGTATAAAAGTTAGTTTTTCTACATTGACCCGGTCGGGGATCGAACGCGAGACCTCAGAGATAAAAACCGGTGCGTGAGCCACTCGACCACGAAAGTCGTCAACGATGTATCTTATGATTAGTACAAATTATTTTGTGGTGGCTGACACCTAAATTACGATGTCCCGTACTTAAGTTTATTAGTTACCTTCGGCAAATATGGTCAAAGGAAAAAAGAAAAAAGAGAAAAGAAAAAAATAGGAATAATACAGAATCCAAAAGGATCTAAATTTAAGTCAAAATCAATTAAATCTCTGCATTGGTGTGTACACGAGTGTTTGTCGAAAACGCTTTTTCAGCGTTTGCGCTTACAAAAATAGTAATTAGTGTAATTTGGAGTCAGAGTTAAGATTTTCTTTGGGTAGTTGAGGCAAAGAAAGCTGAAGAAAGAAGGCTGGGTGTTTGTGGTACCGTCGTTGTTTCCGATTTCTATAACACAAGTGCTTTAGTTACTTTGGGAACAGAGTAACGTATGAAAGTGTTGAATGAAATCAATTTGAAAAAATATTATATATCGAGTTCTTAGGTTTTCGCGATTGTTACACATAGGAAATGAAACTATTTTTCCGGATTTAAATCGCGTATATTTGTTTTTTCAAACAAACCTACGTTTCGGGCCCTTTACAGGTCACACGGTCACGGTTGACTGAGGTGGTACAGTCTTCAAATAAGAACGATTCGAAAGAATATATAGATCCTATTGAATACGTTAACATATTTCTTCAATTTATATGTAGACGAGTAGACATTTGGAACTACAAGAAAGTGGTATGTCCATACTGAAGTTCAACGAATCAATCAGATATTTTTCTCGAATCAGTGTTATATTAAATACAGTGGGTGAAATCCTACAACAGACTCTCGTAAGGATGTGAATAGAGGTATTTGTTTAGCCCTATCACAGTCGATTAAACAACCTACATATATTTTGGGAATGTCCTTTACGCGTGACCTAATTTTTTACTATCTGTCATTATTAAATGTTTATATTTATTTTAGTACACACATATGATTAGAAATTCTCAAACAGTGTTGACATAGGTACTGAACGAAATAAAATATTTAGAATGTTTAATTGTGGTTTCCGAAAAAAATTCAAATATGAAAATAAGAATGTTGCATCGAACCAGATGCAATCTGTGTCGAAATAATATTTATTAAGTCTCGTAATACCAAGTTCCATTTACAAAAATCCGAACAAATTCAGTAGTTTTTAATATAGCAATGATTTGCTAAAGATTAAACAGTGAGAGAGATGTTGTTTTAAATTGTACCTTGCATGATTCAGCGTTAATATTATGTCATATTACGTTTGGACATTGACTGTAAAGACAAAAAAATATTGGAAATTTTTGTACTTGCACATAAAAAATTCCAAGTGACTTTTGTAATGAGGTATATGTAGAATCAATTCGTTTGGAATATATGCCCAACATTTAACAGAGGTTATATGATAATGTGAGACTTATGTATTAGTTTTATCTTTATTAATTCAAAAGGTGCAGTTGGTTGGTACCCCATGAGTACTTGCAAAGACGTACTTAAGATTCACTGATAACTTCCAAGTGATTCAACATAAGTTTTGTAATGGTTATATATTTTAACACATCTGGAAGTTTAATTTGTGTAAAGCAGTTCACATTTATATATCATTTAGTGGACTTTATGTACAGTATACAAAGTCATTTTTTGATAGCTTTTGACTTTTTTGTCATTTATCAGACACTTGAAAAAAATATATAAAGTGAAAATATATAACGGTAAAAAATTGTTGTTTTTGAACATTTCATTGTTTTGGAGCGAAGCAGATCTATATGAGACTCACCATTAGGCAAATTCTCCACAATGCTAATATTGTAGAAGTCCACCTCGAACTCTGGCAGGTTGTCATTTAGGTCTAGTATCTCGACCTCAACGCGGGCCTGCGCAGTCTTTAGAGGATTGTCCACTTGAACTGCCTGAATTTGAAGAGAGAATGTGTTTCCTGCAATTTTTAAGAAAACCCTGAACTTATTTTATATTTTCTAAAGTATTTGATTTAATAAAAATATTCTCATCAAATTGTTGTTAAAACCATAAACGATAAAGTATTGTTTGTCAATTCTCACAAGGTTAAATAAAGAAAAGCTATGTGAAGCAAAACTTAAGTTAATGAACTCTCACCAGGCAGATTGTTTTCGGCATCCAAATCGATCTCTCTGTCAAGGAACAGAGTCCCATTGAAAGGGTTCAGCGAGAAGAGCTTCCGTTCGTTGCCTGAAATGAGTTCGTACCTAACAGGAGAATTAACGCCTGTGTCCTGGTCGAAAGCTCGAATTGGCTCGCCAAATATCAGCTCTTTGTGAATGCGTTTGCCCTGATAAAGAAGAAAAATTATGTTACCGACGATACCTAAGTACAACGCAATAAGGTCGACGTCAGTCCATTTCGTGTTGGTTGAGTTAAAGATTGTCTATAATTTGTGCGTTATTAATATTAAAATACGCAATGTATTGATACTTATTGGTAACTTCGCAAATACGTTTACGATCCGGAGACGTGAAACGTTTAATCTTATCGTGCAGAAAGGTACGCATATCGAATATGAATAGAAAGAGGCGGTGAAGTATGAAGGCGGCCAGAATTCAATATAGGTTCCTGAACCTAAACATATTTCGGTTTATCGTTTATACATCCGTTTCCACGCAGGATGATGAAATTTCTAAGAAGATCGCGACTATGTCTGCAAATTTAAAATAAATAATGTATATTTTATTAAGAACTTACCGATAAGGGATAAAATTCAGGGATCTGTGTTTTATACACGTCAAAACTAAATTTCGGTGGTAAGTCATCATTATCTTGTACTACGACGTGGACTGTGGCGTTTGTGCTTCTTGGAGGAGAACCGCGATCCTGAAAATTAATTGGAAACATGAAATACGATTTACTTTTATAAGTAGCTCAAACAATAAATCACCATTTGAATTTGAAAATTTACTTGCATCTGTTTGCTTTCGAACCTGTAGATGCTAAAACTACTTTAGTTTTCTTATTATTTACTCACAGTCCAGGTCAATTTATGTTAGACCAAACAATAACTTACCGAAGCGGTAACAGTGAGCACAAATTCTCGATCCCCACTGTCGTAGTCTAACGGCTTCTTCAAGACCAAATAAGGTTTATGTGAGCTCTCGAGTGCGAAGTGTCCGCCAGTGTCGCCTGATACAATAGTGTACTGAACGTCTGAGTTCGGTGTATTGGGTTTATCGCGGTCGAACGCGCGGATGCTTTTGTAGATTGTTATACCTGGAAGAAATAGGTAACGTTATCTGTATGTATTCTAATCAATGAATGGGAAAAAATTAACTGAGCCACTACCTAGTAGCCCTACAGTGGCATGATCAAAGGGTGATACGGAAATGAAAATAGAACAAAAATATGCTTACTTAAATATTATCCATAAGTTATATGAAATACAACTAGTCAGTCTACAAAACGTTTTGTGAAGTCGGCTTGGCAACTGCATTTAATTAATTGACAAAAGAAAATAAAAGCTAAAACACAGCTTGCCCCTGTGTTGTGTCATACTGGCCAAATTGCTTGTGACAGAATTTCGAATAATTATTGTGCTCATCTCTGTTCGCCTCATGTTTAGCGTCTTAATTACGACTAAATATAAAGTTCACTTAGCTTTAAGTTAAAAAGTGAAATAAGACATAAATATAACTATACGGGCGAATGGTCGCCGTGAGGGAGCGCCCTGATAGCTTTGTATGTCACATACAGTGTTTGTTGCAATTTCTCGTATACTTTTTAAATATATCCAGTCAATCTCCGGTTGCCTACTAGACCCGCCCAACTTAATATTATGGTCGCCTTTTATACTCTATTTTTTAATTGTCTTCAGATGCAATAACTTTTTATTTTCTAGAAGCAGACGTAAAAAGGGGGACTGATTAATAGTGCAGGGGAAATTCCGTTTAGTGTGCTTAAATATTTTACCATGGACAAAAATCCTATATTTCTCACACATATCAGGTGTACCTCGAAACATATCATTAATACCGACTACACCTAATGTCCGACCACCCTGGCAACATTCAGGACGTAAGGATGTCATCACGCCCCCTAAAGGGGTAAATGACAATCGGGGCAAAATAAGACAGACTTGTAAAACTACGTCAAGGGATGCCTGCCAAAAAGAGATCTGAGCGTATACTGCATGTATTTACCGTGATTCCCAACGAACCAAAACGGTTGATAGGTCCGTAAGATTTATTGCCATCCCTGCCAAGTGCACATTACCTTTAATATTTACCAATCACCTCTCAACAAAATCACTAGCTTTCTAACTTACCAACAGGCGTAAGTTCATCAACGACAACCCTGTATGGCAGGTCTAGAAACTTGGGAGAGTTGTCGTTGACGTCCTCTATGTATACCGTCACTGAGAGGTACGCTGATATCTGCAACAAGTAGGTTCTTGTTAATATCTTACTATGATTTACATTAGTTGGTATTGTGAAATTGAAATGTAAAGTACCAACATAACGTCGATTTTAAAACATTTTTTTAAACTACAACCAAATTTCCTAAACTAATTTAACAGATCGAGTTTTTATGTTATCGCAATTGCTACACATTGAAAATTAAACTATTTTTTGGGGGTTTCAATTTTGTATATTTGTTTATTTTTTCTAATAAATCACTCAGTCTATGATGATCAGAGTAAATTGTAAAGAGCGTAAGCGTTAATTTCGTTTCTTGTAATTGTGAAAAAAAAGGTGAGCCTGTTTTTCGAGCCAATCAAAGTCTTAAAATCTAGAGCGATAGTTGTAAAATCAGACTCTATTTTGAAAAAAAAAGGTGAAACTGAATTCATTACAGATAAGTATCTAAGCAATCCTATTTATTATTGGCTTAAAGTACTTTCGTTCACAAGAAGAAATATTCCCTAATGTCTTTATTCACCGTAAAAGTGAGCGCAAAATATAAAAAAGGCACTTCAAATAGTCGAAACTTTTCTCGTCGACGCAATCAAATTCAGCGACTAAGGAAATTGGGCCAATTCCCTCACACTTGACCTGAATCGAGGCATGGGAGAAATTTATTAAAGCTCAACTGTTGAATAAAGAGAGTTTTCGAATTCGGACATTGTCCCACAATGTACCCTATTGAATCTTTCAATTTGAGTAGGCATAATTTGTGTTATTCAGAATTCTCATGACTTTTTAAGTTTTAATTTGGTTTAATTAAGTTAATTATTTTCCAGTTTTCTGTTTGTTTCCTTAAAGACTGTCGTTAATGAAGCTCATGGTAACAATTTGTACACAACAATGAAAATGTAGGTAGGAGAAAATGTAAAAGTAATGTTTTTTACGATGCTAACCGACGGAGCGAACAAGTCATGTGGCTGGCGTTAAGCGACACGCCTGTCCATAGCAGTTACGGTGCCACTCAATGTTTTAAATCACAAAGATCTAAGGGACTGTCACTGCGTCTGTCACCCTGAGACATACGTTGACAAGTCCCAAGTGCCTGTAATTTCACCAGCACCCTTACCCTTTAAAACCGGAACGCAGTAATGCTCACATTAATGCTTGACGGCAGAAATAGGTAAGGAGCTCTACTTCTTCTAAAGTATATTAGATGTTCCATTTGAAAAACCAGGCTAAAGATCCAATAAAAAAGTGTATTTTAAGCGATAACACCGCGACCTTAATTTTCTTTTAACTCTGTGAAACAATCAAAAGATTCAAACGAAACCGCACTATCTGTTCATCGGATTGAGATTAAGGCCTCAGTCTTAAAGCAAGGAATAAACGTTGATCAAATTAATGTTGGTCGACCTGCAATTGCCAACAAAAACTATTCAAGTTTGAAAGTGCAGTACTTTTCATTGGAAATAAAACCATTTTTTAGGATCTATAAATGGCGTAAAAAAACAAATAACACATCTCACAGAAAAAAAGCAAATATACCGTTCGGCTTAATTCGAAATTCTCTCAACTCCGTTTTTGAAATACGTCACTTTTTTGCTCTTCAAGCGCAATATCGGGCAATCAAAGTTTAAAATATAATCTGTAGGTCCTTATTTAGTTTTAAAATACAGGAATAATCATTGTCAGACAATTATTTCTAGTGATTTAGTTGTATATGTCTAATTTAAAGTTCACATTTATGGATGTTAAGAAGTTTACGTACTTAGCTGACGATACGGAATTCAGAACTGAATTTTTTTTTATTTGTGACAATGGCGAAAACCTAAGTAAGTACTCGATAAATATTGTTGATTATTTTCAAGCTATTTAAATACGATTGTATATGTGTAGTAGTGTAGTTCTTAAATCTAAATAAGTATAATAAATTATGAATTATTTTATCATAATGTACATTTAAAAATAAATTTAGAATTATTATGTTTTTGAAAATCTACTAAAATCCCAAAAAAGAATTACAATCATTATAATAATTATGTTACGTCGAGGTGTCATCACTCGAAGTACAAATACGAGGACGAATGTTCCCAAAATGTTGGAACATTGAAACCTGGAGTAAAGCGGTCTGTTAATTTTAAAACATCATTTTGGTGAAAACTGGAAGTGGGTTAAGGCCGCCGCTGGCCCGTGAACGCTGCAGTTCAGGCCCCTATTATTTTATTGCTATCTCTCTAAGGGACCATTTTGGGATAAACAGAGTCCTCACTGATAAAATTCGTTGAATGCTCAAGTTGCTTTTAAAATATTTTGTGCTTTTTTTTATAATACCTACTTAAAGGCGGGACGAGCAAGTTGTGCGCCTGGTGGTAAGCGACACGCCTATCCATAACAGTTGCAGTGCCACTTAGAGCTTTTAATCGCAAAGATTCGAAACCGAAACGCAGTAATATGACTACTTGGCGGCAGAAATAAGTTGGGAGGCAGTGCTTCCCCGGGCGAACTCTTTCACAAGGAGCTCTACTGCTGCCATAAATTGTTAATTATTGTTGCGAAATAGAAATTACAAGACCATTGTGAAAGGCAATATCGAAAATATGTGTGGATATTAGAAAGTAATCGTAGTTCAGTGGAAGAGCGGTTGCTTTTTTATTGAAAGGTCGACGGTTCGCATCCCAGTGGCGGCATGTACTTATGACTCTTATTTTTAAACTACTTAATATATAATATAAAATGTATTATTACTTAAAATGAAATGTTATATTATACCTTTGATTAAGAGTTTATACAACCTCAAATGGCTTTGGTTGATTCCGCATAAGAGTGAAAGTGTTGAATTAATCACTTTGGAAAAAATATATACATAAAACTACTTTGTACTAATAATTATAACAAACAAGTAGTAAATAAAATATACACATAGTAAAATTAAGGATATACATTGTATACTGTGTGACGACACGATTCCTAAAAATTGACACGATAAAAAAAATCCAAACTTACTTCGACATTTTACAAGAAAACCGACTCTTAATTGTGAGAGAATACAATTTGAAGAAACCGACAAGTCGAAAAGGGTATCCCTGGAAAATGTTAAAAATTCTTAACCGCATTGGCGTGGCATGGAAATCCCGTGTCCAGCAATGGGAGAGAGCGATCAAATAGTTAATATATGAATGATAGGTGTGTAACGTTTGCTATCTAAGAGAGTAAGCCTTCTTCCGAATTCCAACATCCCACGATCATATTACTTTTGATTACATCAATTCGATATGAAAACATCAAATGCCAATATTTGTATGCCGCGTGCATTGACTTACAAATAAATGGACGACGGGTCTAATACAAAAACCACGAAAAAAATGTCCCAAGTCAACCTATTTAAACGTAGTGACATGTAAAGGAATATGAAAAAGTTAAAACGTTGAATTTAAATTGAAATGTCATCGCAGTACCGTCTAATTTTGCTTGCTTCGCTGTCAGTCGAACAAACGAAGACTAAAGCGTGAATAACGCTCTGTATACGATTTTAACGCCCTATAAGTTCGGACACTTTTTAGCGCGGACCCGACGTCCATATAATTGTAAGTCAATGGCCGCGTGTATTATTCCCAGAATTAATCACCGATCAAAGAAGCTGTATTATTTGACATCAATTATAATGTACATATCTTTTGTTAGCGAGTTTGTGTTCTTCGACAATTCGTTTGTGAACACGATACTTTTTGTATAAAAATAAACGTCAATAAAAGTCGTTATTTTGTGTTGTTTGCTTGTAGTATTTGATACATAAAAGCTCTGTTCTCTCTGTGATCGAGGTGACATTTAAAGTAAATTGACTTCACTATGATAGCAAGTGACGCCACCAATAAGTTGTGCTCCTGGTGGTAAGAGACACGCGTACACATAGTGGCCGCAATGTCAATTAGAACTTTAAATCGCAAAGATTCGAGGGATACTGCCACTGCGAGAAGTTCCATGTGCCTGTGCAATCCACTGGTACCCCCGGAACGCAGTAATACATCCTTGAACAAATTCTTTCACAAGCTCTAATGCTACTGCTGCTGTTGGGATCTACACACAGTCCCGTATAGATAGAGATATGAGTTTTAAGAAATTTTTGTTCTAATAATATTCACAAACTCCAATATTACCAATGTTATCATAATAAATATTATGAAAACGAGAGGTAAACACGCCGTTAACGATATTGGTAAGGAACAACTTACAATATTATTTTATGAATGAAATGTTTACCAAACTTAATCTTATACACACGCACTTTTCATCGAAAAGGAATTTTTCCGAAGTATACAGTTACGCTCAATCGAATTTCAGTTCATTAGCCTCACTTGACAGGCTTTTATGAGATAGCTGTAAAAGTAAACACAAAACATTATTTCCATCGTTTCGAAAGGGATCGGTTTTGTGTGAGGCGTTTTCACGTTTTAGAATTAAGTTTCAAAGAACTTTTAAGTGAATTGCGTTGTTGACTGCGGCGGGCAGTAAAAATGTCGGGAAAAGGTTTTATGCGAAGTGGAGGTTTAGGAAATGTTGAACAGTTTTGTTTCTGGAATCGTGATAAGGGAAAAACTGTTTCGGGCCTAAAGTAGACTGGTGCGCAGGCACACCAACCAAATGGTATTTAAATAATCTAACTTTTACCGCCTGTTTTGGTTTGTTGTTTCTAAGAAAATTCTGCAGCGTTATCTAAAACCTACAATAAATATTTTTTATTTTTTAAGTCTAGTACTGTTAAACGCTTCAGAGACTGAAATCTTAAATTTCCTACCTTGGTATTCATAGTCCCTGTATTGTACTTCTATCGTTACTTACTAACTTGATTCCTCGTCGTTTTGTCGCTATTCGGTGCTTTAAAACCAAAGAATAGTAAATAAACCTACCAGATCATCCCCGGAATCGAAGTCGCAGCCGAGCCTGAACTTGACAACGTTCTGCGGTGAGTCGCTGTCTACCAGATGGTCCAAACTTTGTGCCAGCACCACCGACACGTGCGTCCTGTTCACATCCCGGTATGTGAACAGTGCTGCATCCTCTTCTTTTTCTACTGGTTGCAAGCTTAGATTTTTTCTGGAATAGACAACGATTTTTATATTAATTAATGATTAGGAATATGAACGTCATTCACATCTCACACGAAAAGAGTTCGTCGACCTCTGGAAATACCTGAGCTAAATTTCAAATCCACATCGGGATAGCTACTGAATGTAATTTAAGAAATGGGCAAAGCGCCCTCTATGTATTTATTTAGGAACTGCTTGAACCCCGAGCTCTGTTAGAATAGACAAAGTTATCTTACGTACCCCGCGCGTCTTTCTTGGTAATAAATATAGATGGCTCTAAATGCACTCAAAATAAAAAGTGCATAATATATTTTATGCTTACCTAAATTCTTATCGTAATAAAATATTATATTCATGGAGATTATTTTTGATTACTTTCATCACTTGAAAATTTTTTGGAATGTAACAAGGAGCCAAATAAGGTATATCAAATGTATGTATTATATATAACAAACAAGTGACAGCACAATAATACAGTGTCGTAATAAATCCAACAGTTAGTAATTTAACATAGTCACAGATACAAATGAGCCTATACTTAATGTTTTCCCATGGAGAGATGCCAGATTTGCATTCTGCCGGATTGATGTAACTAAATTGTTGATTGTTATGTGTCGACCCATATATAAATTACATTGTTAAATTAGGGTTTATACTAAACTAGTATTTTTTTTAGGTTTAGTAGTAGCTTAGTCAATTAATAACAAAAGTTTTTGGAACAAAAATTGTTATGATGTAAAAAAATCCGTGTCCTCCTTTTGGAAAACTCGATGTCCGGTGGCTGTAGTTAAGTTTTTTAACTGCCTGCATGGCCAAACGGTTACTATGCTGGATAGCCACGCAGAGGTCCCGGGTTCAATTCCTGGACCGGGAGAAATATTTGTATCATTTATTTCATTATTGTGGTGCTAGTATTGACAGAGTTCGCGTTGCAAGTTCCAAGAATGGTTCTTTGGTGTACAGCTGTTCTAACTGTGCTATTAGTGGTACAGTAAAGAGCACATCAAGCTTTATACTCTAGAGTCTAGACTTTGGACAGTTTGTAATGTAAGATCATAGACTTGAAAAAAAAGTGACGACGGAAAATGGTGTACGTTACAAACTTGAAATTTTGTTTGTGTGTTTGTCTATGACAGGATTTCTTAACCTAACCGTGGTCTATGACATCGTAGCTTCCAAAGAGATGGACTGATCTCAGAGCGGTTTTTTTGGAAACATTAATTTAACGGCATGGTTAGCTGTACGTAATCAACGATTATTCAGTAAAAATAATATGCAAAATATACAAAAAAAACAGTCTCCTCCGTTTTGCTTTTTTAAAGTCTTTTCGCAGGATGGTTTTAGGTGCGAATTCTCCCATTGCTAGGCTTTGTCAGTTGTACAATGATCATAGAGCAACGATCGATTTACACTACTTCTCTACAGTAAGAACCATGCGCGAAATGTCGTCACTTTCCTAAAACTCTGTCACTTAACTTCTTTTTTATATTTTCACTCAGTCTTAAGATATTAACACTATTTGTTTTTGTAAGTGATTTATATGGTTAAATTAATGTTTACAATTTTCTTATGGAAGTTTCTTTTTATTCTGCAATAATTTACTGTGCATGTGGTGTCGGTCTAAAAATAGATTGTGCACTTAGTTTTGAGTTTTCTTTTGCATATATGTTTTCTGTTCTTTTATTGGTGTAACAATTGTTGACTGAGCAAATAAATACATAAAAAAACTCGGTTAAAAATAGTTTCGTTTCCAATATGTAAAACAATCGCAAAAACCTCAGAATTCGATGTAAACTATTAACTGTTTATATTAGTGACACTATTATCTATCCTTGGAGATCATATTTTAAATTGTAACATTGCGATATTGATAATATGACCATTTACAAAAAAATAACGGAGACATGTCACTATAGCCTACAGTATCGTAATATTACCAGTGTTGTCAATAGGCCAAACCTACAAAAACTTATATTACGATCACCAATGGTTGCAACATTCTCCGTTGATCCAGTGATGAATTATTGACAAGTATGGTAATATGTCACGAGGTAACGGCCCATCAAAACTGCATTACGGTTGCATAAAACGCATGTTGCGCACGATTCGCTTCGTGTTGACTTTTGGCGATTTATTTGTGGGGAAATGGGGATTGTATGTTGGCGGCCTTGATAAGTTAAGCCTTTGAAGGATTATGTTATTGCTTCATTATTATCGTATAAAGATGAGAAGGAACAGTTAATTAATGATTAAGCCATGGTATAATTTGTACCTTTGATTTAATAAGGCCACATCTGTAAAATCACAAGTTTTAAAGAGGTTTAGACACTACGGATGAACTTAGACGAAAAATTTCACATTTTTTTTATAATACCAAGTGACGGGATGAACAAGTCGTGTGCCAGTCGTTAGGCGACGCAAAGATCTGAGGTACATTCCCACTGAACTCGTCACCTTGAAACTTAAGTTGACAAGTTCCGTGAGCCTGTTTTCACCTTAAATTTCACCAAAACCGGAGCGCAGTAATTCTCACATTATTGCTTGTCGGCAGAATAGTAGCAGAAGAGCTCCTCGTGAAAGAGTTTGTCCAGGTAAGTACAAGTGAAATTAGAGGCACGTGGGACTTGTTGACTTATGCGTCAGGGTGACAGACGCAGTGGCAGTGCCCCTCAGATCTTTGTGATAGAAATTCAATAAAAATTAAAAATCGCTATTGCTACTAAAACATATATACATACCTAATTTGTTAATAAAAATGGAAAGTTAAACCGAAAATATTTTATCATGCAGTTAAAAGGGTATATTTATCGTGGTGGTTTGTGACTGTAGTTGAGCTTGTTTTATCTATTTTATAAATTTTATGCGGAGGGAGAGTGGGAAAATTAACTGCATGAAAAATATATTCAACATAAACACAGCTATTTTGCACGATTTAACTTTAACTGGGCTCGCGGAGTAGCAAATTAACTTATTTCTATTTTTATTTTATACCTAATTTGTTTCATGTAATTTGTAATAATTTTAACTAATTTTAATGACTTGTGATAAAAACACTTTTAACGTTTGATCACATGTGGCTTTGTTATAACAAAGGTATGAATTTAACTTAAGTTTAATTCTACATGGGCCTTACAGTACAACACAGGAAGATAGTGCCATTTCTTTCTCTTGATTAGATTACAGTTCTGCAATCGCTAACTCGTCAGCCAGGCAATTGAGAATTCATGCCGTTACAAGTATATTTCATCGCTTTTACCGATATGTACTCTTTATTAATGCAAGGAAGCCAAGCCCAGCAGTGGATCGTATGTAAGTCGATTATAATGACAAAGATCTTATTATATAATATAATACATTCTTCAACTTGTTATGTAAACCATAGTAAAAGTAGAAAGGCAACTGTAAGATATTACCTGTAGATAATTTCCTATATTATTTTCTAGGTAAAATGTTGTTACAAATAAGTCTGAAACCACAAATTATTAAGTACTCTGTTTGGTGTTATGCTATTTTGTACCTGTTGTCTATGTAATAAGGTATATCGATTGAAATCAATATTAGAAAGTCCATTTATTTGATTTTCGTTTTCAGTCGAGGCATAATTTTTACAAATTATTGTAACGGAATTAAGGGGCGTGGAAAAGGGCCGGTGCGGAGGTGAAATGAACAAAGTTTTATTGATACTTTCATATAAAAAAAAAGGAAAATTGCAGAAGGTCCGGTGCGTAAATGTGCGCATTTTACAAGTTATTCAACTTTTAACGTCAGCGGAAGATGGAACGGCGCTGAGCACACATAGAAAATAATGTCTTAAGAAAGCAATAGCTGAATTAAATTCGATTTATCGGCATTTTTTCTGAAAGACATTTTGCAGTTGCCCGCCGACCGTGACCGTCGCTGCGCCACCGGACAAAAGGGTGTCCAACCAATATTAAACAAAGTAAAGGACCTGGGGGCGCACAGATTTATTTTCATTCAAAATTGCATTGATGTTAAAGTAGATAATAAAGCTTAACTTGTAATATGTTGGGCCAATGTGAGAGAGCGAAACCTGCACTAAAATATTCTGGGTTACAATAAGAGATGAGCATTGACCCAAGATTATAACGCGTAAAACCGGTCAACGCCACCTGTTGGCATCGTGACGAAGTAATTCTCCCCTGCATTATAGATGAAACTTTTATTCAGTTCCATTACACAGGTAACTAGGTACTGGAATCATCTAAAGTCTATACCGAATATTACAATAGTGTATTAACTTAAAAAGTGTATTTTTTCATAATCAATGAAAAACAGATTACGCACTTCCCGTATTACAATTCACGTATAGTTAAAATTTGTTAAAAACATAATACACGTCCACACTTGTCGAATTCCGATCATAATTAAAAGTGCCGTAAGGTTGGAGGGAGTGATACAAACGTTAGTTAATCATCAACAGTGACCCACGACGCCATCTTTTAATCGTTTTTACAATATTTTAAGGACGGTTTTATTTTCACATATTTTGAGTTACAACCTATTGTAATAGCAGTGTGATGTGTCTAATTTCAGCCGTGGTAGCCTTTGGTTTGACCTACCCGCATTGGGCCTGCGTGCACAATAGTGGGACGTATGAATGGGTAGATGATAATAATGATGATTTTTTTCATGTCATCGCTTTTTAAATTCACGGATGAGTATGAAAATCCACCAACTTAGAAAACATAGCAGTTGCCTGCTTTGCTGGAATCTTGCCAGGCGATGCAGGAGCTTGCTTGATACTTTTCTCCATCATACCTATTAAAAAATAATTTATTTAAAACTCATGTTTGAATGATTTTTGCAATGCTTATGGATTCCGGTTTATGTATAAGATATTTTTAGTAGCAGTGGAGCTCCTTGTCAATGAGTTCGTCCAGGGAAGTACTGCCTTACCTATTATTTTCTGCCGCCAAGCAGTAATGTGCACATTACTTACTGCGTTCCTATTTCGATGCTGAAAGCTCTGAGTGGCACTCCAATTGC